GTAGGCACGGGCACGGGCACGGGGGTGGCCACGGGCTTGAGCGTGGGCGTGGGTGTGGGCATGGACGTGGGCACGGGAGGTGCCACGCGAAAGGCGTGGGAGTGGGGTTGCATGCACCCACACCCTTGCACGGAGAGGTAACTCGCTCCTTCAGCCTGGACTCCCATTTTCTCAAGTGAAATGAATCCTATCGCCTGTTCATTATATAAGACATGCACTCTTAGATGACTGCTACTGCTACGTCCTCATGTAAACCTTCAGCAGGTCTGAGTGCTTTGAACCAGAAAACCAAACAAACTGACCGAAAGACAAAGCCTGTCAAAATATGCCTGTGTTACTGCTCACTGTAGTCAGTAGCTTAATATCAAAGCACCATTTTATGCTATGAGGTGTTTAATCAAATTCAGTGTTTCTTCTTGGTTTTGTTTTTGTTTTTGTTTTTGTTTTGTTTTGTTTTGTTTTGTTTTTCATATTTCATCATAGCAACTTGTGTTTCTCTATAAAGCTTTGTATTTCTGAGGCTTTTAGAAAGAGCGTGGGTTAGGAACAGTCGTGTCTGTACAGTCAGAGGGCAATTGCTCTGGAGATGCATCAGAAGAAAATTAGTGCTCTTGAAATATTAAAAAATAGAAAATGGTTGTAGGTGACAAATTCCCCTAACTATTGTACATATTGTTGATGTACCAGACTGTATATTGATCAGGGCTTTAGACGTGGCCTGCTCTGCTAAATTAGTCAAAAGTATAGTAGAGAGAAAGTGAATTCTTCTCTACAAACTATGTAGTGGAAAATACACAACTCAAAAGGTCTCTGGCAATACAGTGTAACATCTATAACAAAATGTATCAGAGAGATGAAAAATTTTATGATTGAAGTTAATAAAACAGAAGGAACCACCACAGAGAAAAAAAAATGCTCAATTTTATGTATGCTTGAAATATTTTTCTCTGTTTTGACTTCAGTCTTTATGTAGCTGTAAAAGATTTTTGATCACTATGTGCTAGCCCTTTCATGTGGCTCCTATGTCTCTCAGTAGAGACCAGTGTTGCCCATCTGTGACCTGGTGTGCAACAGCCTAAAATTACATTCCTTATGTGTCCTACATATATGTCTGTTGACAGCTGCCCACAGGTTCCACACCTGTGCTGATAGCCTTGCCTTATGATCCTCTGCAGTGGATATGACTCTCCACCAGTGCTGGGGTAGCCACCTTTGTGAGCCTCCTTGAGCCACACATCTCCCATTCTGGGACTGCATTTCATAACCATTGGTCAGATTTTGCTTGGCTATCAGGGAATATGAACAATCAGGAATTGCTGGTGCCCATTCCTTTGGATCATCCTCAGGCTCAGCTGTGTGCTCAGTGCTGCCCAGCAGCCGAGCTGCAGAACAGGTAGAGAAGTCACAGTCCCTTCCCAGCTGCAGACTCCGTGCAGGGCACTCTGCTGTCCCCTCCCAGGTGTGGGAGCTGTAGCTGCTGCCCATATCGAGATTTTGCTCTGAGGATGAGGACTTGTGCCTCTGCTTGCAAGTGTGGTGTTCAAAGTGCATTTTCTTTTTTCCAAAAACACTTTCACACTTGCAAAAAAATGTCCAAGTCACCGTGGCAGAGAGAGAGACAAAGATGGAGAATTATGCCAGGTCTTTTTCTTTGCCTCATGCATTAAGCTGAAGGAATGCAATGAAGAAACATTCCTAAAGTCGTGCTTAGTGTTACTACAAAAAGCCTGAAATGCCATTATTCAGCCTAATCAATTAGTCAGAGCTGAATTATGTAAGAGTCATCTGAATGTGCGCAGAGCTGGCTATTGTTTTTCTCTTCTAAGACCTAAAGTTCCCCTCTTTCTGTTTTGCATGCTTTCGAAATCACCTACCACAACGATTCCTGGTACTTCCTGATTCTAGTTAGTTTGATTCTGATTATCTCGTGGGGGTTTGTTTGTATTTGTATTTCTCAGTTTTACTCCCAAGGAAATGGTGACTACTTAAAATCCAAACTGAAAACATTGAACCATAAAAATGTTGATTTGTCTGGGAGCAAAGTGTTTCTGCTGCAATTTGTACATCATATTGCTAACCAGGAGCAAATTACATAAGAGAAGTTATAGGGTAACTAGTGTCATCAGATTCATTTCTACTTTTAAAATTTCCTAACGAAGTCTTAGCTTTTACAGTAAGCAGCTGTAATATCAGAGCCTAGGGCTCAGGGGCAGTATTTTGGCCTTAAGAGCTCATTACATAACGCAATTACTGTAATTCAGCCTTCACACCCTGCTCTGGCTATGTTTGCTTATAGTTTATGGACTTTTGAAAAGCGATCCCTTGTTTTGTGTTCCTCACATTCAGTGTCTCCTAGATTTGCCACCACAGCTAATGATATCAGGTCATATCAAGAATCCAGTGGACAGTAAATAAAAAACAGACTTGGAGAACTGAGATACCATTCAAAAGTGCTGTTTGTTTTACAGGATGTTTTACAAGCATAAGGCTACCAGAAAAAGGGTGCTTTGGAAGATGTAGTGCCCTGTTCTTATGAAATGCTCTCTCTTGCCACTGCTCTAGCTATGGAATTGCTGGGTCTACCAATGTGACAGGAGATCAAGTAAAGAAGTTGGACATCCTTTCCAATGACCTGGTGATTAACATGCTCAAGTCATCCTTCAGTACGTGTGTTATTGTGTCAGAAGAAAACAAAGATGCTGTGATAGTGGAAACTGAAAAAAGGGTTAGTAGCTTTAAAGGTTCTCCCTGCTTATTTTCAAACAAGCCATTACAGATGTATTGCTCCAGATTTGAGAAACTGAAACTGGGCTAAAAATTTCAGAGGACATGTACTTTTCTATACTGGCAAATGGAGGCAGGGGACGGAGGCAGAGGGCGAGAATGTCAGTCAACATTTGTCCCTTCTGTTATTTCTGTTCTGAAGAATAATGGGGTTTGGGTTTATTTTTTTCTCTGCTGTTCCTCCTCAACATATTTTTCTGTCCTCACCTTCTCCTAATTGTGGAGGAAACTTCCTGTTTATCTGATCTATGGAACTATGGTCTGAGTCAGTAAGCCCTTTCGTAAAGTAGCTTTAGCAGTAGGACACTGGGGAGCTGATCTGTGCAGGTCAAATCTCAAGATGTTTAATGCATGCAAGTTCTCCCTGAAGCCCATGAGAGACTAAGCAACCATGAACACAAAAATAATTTTTGCTCATTTATTATTGTTTGTATTCACAAGTCTACATGCACTTGTTGAGTGATAGTTCCTTTTTCCTAGCTAATATTTTGGTGCAATCATGTAAAAATCTAAGTAAAAATTTAAAACTAACAAACAACTAAAACATAATCTCGGAAGTATAATAGCATTTGCTGTTGAAACAGTTCTTTCTTTCTCTCCCTATTGAGAAATCTTCAAAATTTATTTCATAGGCATTGGATGAAAAAAGATTGCTTTAGATATGGATAAATATGGTTTTAGATCCTCAAATATCACTGAGGGAGGCTCAGTGTTAGCTCTTTTCTAAACAAAATGGGAGATAATACGGTGTTTTTATCAGAATTCTTACCCAGAACTCCTACCTGCAGAGTAGAGCATTGCTGGACTTTAACGTAAGTTTCTGGCGTGCAGGGTGAAATCAAACAAAAAACCACAGAAGTAAACACTTACTGTTGTTACACATGATTATTAAAACTACTGTGTACAAAAATAAGGGAAAAACAAGCTTTTTGAAAGGTACAGTTAAATCTGTTGTTTTCCCTGTACTATCAGTTTCCTGTACCTACAGAAATCCTTAATACAGCAATACACAAAGACCAATCTTTTTTAGGGAAGAGAAACTCCCAAAAACCAGGAGAAGAACATAGATGGGCTAAGGTAATTTCTGACCGTTAGTCCATCCACAGCACAGATAAAGTGAAGTGTATAGTTTACGAATGTCAGGTGTTAAAGGCCTTTTTAATGTCTCTAATTTTAGCTTTACATGAAAAGAGAAGCTGATCTTCATCTGTCTTTTTCCTTATAATTCAGAATGCCATTTTTTTCAAGATGAGGAAGTGTAGCCGATATTCTAGATACTACAGGATGTCTTAGCAAAATGGATCAGCATTAATTAAATAGATTAATCTAAACTATTGATTTGAAAATATTATCATTTTGAAAAATATATTGAAAATTATGTAGGAAAACTTCACGTTTCCCATGTCATCATCTATTACTTGGTTTAAAGATTTTCCAGCTCCTGCTGTGGCACAAATCACACAGTTGTAATCAAGCATGAAATCTGGGCCAAAGAAACTCTAACATTTGAATTCAGTTCCTTCATAATCTATAAAAGCCTTTTAGCTTGTATTGCCTTGAAAGCCTGTGAGAAAATTTACCTACTGAAGTTTTTTTATTTGGGAGAAGTGGGTAAATAATGTTGCTAATCTGGTTGTTCCTGCTTTCATATTTTCTAGGGTAAATACATAGTCTGCATAGACCCCCTAGATGGCTCATCGAACATTGACTGTCTTGTTTCCATTGGGACCATCTTTGCCATCTATAGAAAGGTATAATGATTTCATGTAGGATAGGAAAAACTTTTTTTTTTTTTTTTTTTTGTGTACACAAAATATTGTGCACCTTTTGATGAAATATAACTGCGTGTGAAGACAAAATCTAACTAAAGTTGTTTGTGAAAGAGATTTTCAGGACCAGCTTTAAGTTAAATCTGCTGTTTCACAGACACTTGTGTAAAACATTTCTGAAAGATTTGCACTACTCTCTTAGAAGAAGAGGCACCCATACGTACATGGCTGATGCTTAATTAGCCATCTAAAGGAATTACCCCTTGCAAACAAATTATGCCTTAGATTTTATGAATATTTGTGTTGAGACAAAATACCACACAGTTGTCATCTACTTGGGGAACGTGCTTTCAGGTTTTCTTGTTCTCTGTACTAATAGTCGTACTAGCCTAACAACAGGCTTCAAACACCAACTGGAGCTAAACATGGCATGTGCACTTGAGGTGTCTAATTCACTCTGAAAGGCAGAAACATTGTCTTGAAGGAGCTTGAAATACTGGACTCGCAAGTCACAAGATGGGGGGGGAAAAAGTAAGTCAGATAAAACACACCCAACTGTTCATTTTAATCATCTTCTCTACGTTGTCATACAACCCAAAGTAACTATTTTCAGCTTAATTTCTGTATGAAGCAAAAGAAAGCAAAAAAATCCAAAGTACTTTTGATCAACTGTGAACACCATGAGTCATGTTTCATTGCTTGGTTTTCAACTGTACCTCAGAGTTTTGCTCCAAGCTGTGTTCATCATCACCTACAAGGAGGTACACAGCTTTATATTATCTCCTTAAACCTTTCCTGCTTCCTGCATTCCAGCTAGGCTTATACAAGAGCATTTCTAGATCAATGTGTTTATCACCCCCATATAATTTGTATTAGTGCATCCAGTAGGAATTTTAGTTGCGGATCATGGAAGCATTTGTGCCACCTCTTGCATGGATATGGAGTAGAAGACTGACCCTCTCCCAGAAGAGTCCAGTTAGGTACCAGCTATAGAAATGAAGTAAAGTTGATTACGCTCCTTCTTGTTCCAGGTGTCCCCTGATGAACCTTCTGGGAAGGATGCTTTGCAACCTGGCCGTAATCTTGTGGCAGCTGGCTATGCTCTCTATGGGAGTGCCACAATGCTGGTACTAGCCACTTCTGCTGGAGGTGTCAACTGTTTCATGCTGGATCCGGTGAGAGTATCTTCTGTTTCTTTGTTTCTTCATTAGGGATAGCAAGGTACTGTCCATGAGAACTGTCTGTCCCCCAGAAAATCAAATAATGGAGCAATTTTCAAGTTAACGTGAAGAAATTAAGTACACTTAATAACGCACCAGCAATAATGTCAAGAGATGTTTGGGTTCTGCCTGCCTGCTGCACTGGTGCTATGCGTGATTCAACAATGGGAGGAGAGCCGGGTCAGTGAAGCAAATATACAGCATGTGCCAAACCATGTGATATTTAAAATGAGATGTTTTCTGCAATGATGAATGCCATTTAAGGCTCGTTTGTCTTTTCCTTAACGATAGTACCTTAGTAAACCAGAGAAGCAGAAATATTTAACCTTCTTCTGTGTTTTCAGATCCCACCATGATGTGTAAAAGAGTAAGTGATGTGTGTGGATGCATTTGACTTTCTAGCATGCCTTGACCACATGAGTTTAAAAAGAAAAGTCATATTGATCATAGCATAACGTAGTTTGCTTTTAGTGCCTTTTTTTTTTGTAATAAGTCAGGCTGTGACACCTGCCAGTATTAAATTTTTAGAGCCTGTAGTGCTTACGAAGCAGGAAATATAACTTGCTGCTCCCTGTTAAGTAACAGCTTAAGTGGCTGCATGTATTTTTGTCTCTATTCAGGTAGCAGATTTAATTTTGAGCATGTGTGCATGTTATTTTCTTTCTTTTTAGCACTAACTCAGAAATTTATGTCGGTGAAAACTAAACAGATCAGCCCTTGGTCACAGAGATTGCCTCTGTTGAGTCCAGGCTTCCAGTTAGCCCAAGTTAAGATGAATTCAAATTAATTAATATCTACAACTATTTGAAGATGTTTAAGCGTTGCTTCAACTGGCACTCTCAGTTTCCAAACTCTTCAGAGCAGTAGTCTTGTTTCAAGTCTAGCAAAATAGTGGAAAGCCATATAAATTTACAGGCAACAGCATTTTTTGGTGCAGAAAAATGATAGAGAGCTGAGAATGGTAGTATGAAGAAGCTTTGCATGGCCACGGGATTCATGTGCTGTCTGTGTTTTATGGAAAAGAAGCGCCTCTAGAATGCAAATACCACTTTTTCATAGGTACTGCATTATTGAAGAAACTGGTAGTGGTAGCAAAATTTTCCTAAATTGTGTGTGTGATTGGTTTTTTGCCTCGGATTGTAAATAAATGAGCAATGAACGTTAATCAATTGTTTTTTCTTTCTTATTGTTAGGCAATTGGAGAATTCATTTTGGTGGATAGGGATGTGAAAATCAAGAAGAAGGGAAGTATCTACAGTCTCAATGAAGGCTATGCTAAATACTTCGATCCTGCAGTCACAGAGTATCTCAAAAAGAAGAAATTCCCTGAGGTAAAAGATCCTGTTTCAGAAAAATTAATGATTTCCAGCTTCATGATCTGTCTCACACACTGTTCAGAGCTTTTCTTTTCCTTTTCTGCCTGTTGAAAGTGTATCATCACGCAGGACTGATTATTAGAGCAGTAGTAGCTGTGACCAGGTATTTCACCATCCTTCAGTACTGCACTGCACCTTTTTTAATATTTATTTTCCCTTTCTTTCTTTTTTTCTTTTTAATCTTCATTCCTGGCTGGGTGCCTGAGTAACAGTGCTGGAGGCAAAACTGGGCACTTAGTTAAGTAGAGAGGAAGTCTTTTCTGGTGATGAAAAACTTGATCAACGTGTTTTAGATTGCTCCTTCCTCTGCAGTGTCTGAGTAGAGGGAGAGCCAAGTGGGGATGGCAGTGGGGGGGCGGCTCAGCGGTAACACAACCTGGGTCTTGAGGGGAACTCTCAATTGAAAAGCTAGTGTAGTTTCAGGGTCTGCTTTGTGGTGGTGCAGCTTCCTGATGTCAGGAGGCCTGAAGCTCTAAGGAGTGCCCATAAAAGTCATGCCTGTTCTCATGCCTTACACCTGTCATCACCAGAGTTATTATGTTGACAATGACATGTAAATGTTTACTATTGTTAAATGTCTGTGTCACTTCTTGACTTCCTGATCTTGCTTTGAACAAAGACTGGTGTTTTCCTCTGGCGTCTTGCTGGGCTTAATGTGTTGTTTATTTAGGCATTAAAATGTACTCGGTGGAGTATACTAAGGAAATAATATCAGTAGTCAACTATTAACTTTTTCTTACCAAAAAGAGTTATGGAAGCTTGCCAAAATGGGTGGAAGAAATGAGAAAGATCCCTTCTGTTACTCCTTGGTATTTTTTTTTTTCCTGCTACAAAAGAAAAAATCACAACATTGATGTTTTTGCTGCTGGAAATGCAGTATTTTCCAAGGGTCAGAGCACTGCCACTCATCTATCCTGAAATCTTCTGTCAGTTCTTTTCCTTGTATTTCCCCAGTTAGAAAATGAGGAGGAAACTGAAATTTTCTCCAAAGCTACTTTGACTATTGTCAATGAATCACCATATGGAGAAGACAGATGCTAGGACCTCTAAAAGAAGAGAGGGGGAAATAAAAATAACCTGATGTGCTTGGAAGTTACATTTATTTAACATATTCATAATCTGATTAATTTAATTTCTGTAGGATGGCAGTTCACCATATGGTGGGAGGTACATAGGCTCTATGGTGGCTGATGTGCATCGCACGCTGGTGTATGGAGGAATCTTTCTGTATCCTGCTAATTCCAAAAGCCCCAAAGGAAAGGTAAACCTGAATAAGGCCACTTGTGGAAACTGTTGCATTATCTAGATGTTTCACTATCACAAATAAGAATTTTGGTTGCAGAAGGTGTGTTTTATAAGTTGGTAGCTTGCACCTCTGGTGTGCGTGTATGGCCACCCCTTGCAGACTGGAACGAGTGACAGCAACCTGTTGTCAGACATATTTTAGGACTGCTGCTGGCCTGTTTCAACTGCATTGACTGCTCTTTATCCCCAAAAGCACTGAGATTATGGAACGTACCAAAGGATGTGCTGTTCAGACAGGCTTCTCTGGACCATCTCAGCCCAAACCATGATGGTCTCAACTAAGCAAAACATTACAAAGCCAAGCAAATCATCCACATTACTCTGAGAGTCCTATTGCAAGCTAGTATGTAAGATGCCTGAATGGAGTGTGCCCCTTACAAGAAGCTCTGCCAAAGAGAAAACCCTCTGCATCTTGTGCTTGGTAACACTGCCTCATCTGCAGGAGCTATGCCTGGATGCCTCTGCCAGGGCGACAGTCGATCAGGGAAGAACACACACTTGCAGGCTGACAAGGGCAATGTTTATTCAGCAAAGACCTTTCATCTATTTTGTAATTGTCTGTAAATTATTGCTTCAGGTTGCAGATAAGATGCAGTTACTCATTAGAGAAACCTAATGGCACACTCGGGGCCAGTGTTTTTTCTTTTCACATGGGCCTAAATGGTCTGCTGCCTTGTTAAAGGTTGTGTCTTTTACATATGAGCTTTATCTCTGTGTAAAGAGCACAATGCAAACATGAGCCATGGAGAAAGCACTCAAATTGGGCAAATCCAGCATTCACTGTGTTTTGTTTAGAAGAAAAACCCACAAAAATACATTCTTGAGCCAAAGCTGATATGAAATATGGGGTATTGTGAGTCTTGCTTGGCTTTAAATCAAATGCCAAATGTGTTTACATTTCATGATTCTCAGTATTGCCTGGGCTGACCATTGCCATTTTGATTTTTGTCTTCTAGCTGAGACTGCTCTATGAATGCAACCCTATGGCTTTTGTTATTGAGAAGGCTGGGGGAATAGCAACAACTGGGCACCAAGCAATACTAGATATAGTGCCTGAGGATATCCACCAAAGAGTGCCTGTTGTCTTGGGATCTCCTGATGACGTGAAGGAGTACCTTGAGATAGTCAAGAAACATTCAGCTAAGTAAAGAAAGCCTGCTGGAGTCACTGTGCAGATGGGAAGAAATGCCTTGCAGCTGAACCAAAGAATAAACTACAGTACTGCAAGATTGAACTGTCTGACCTCTAGCAAAAGATCAAATGAGCTATGTTTTCATAAGATTTTTTAAAAGTTAAATCTTGTGCATTTGCATTGTGCAATTAAAGGCATTAAAAGATTGTATTAAAGGATGCATTAAAAGTAAAAGCAAGGGGAAAATAGGTTTGCTTTTTTATTAATCATTTTTGGTTACACAAGTGCCACTGTGCTACAAGGGAATACTCTGTTGCATTCGATAACTAGGGGAAGACTTAACTTTCTCAGACAAACTGCAGCCTGTTGCCACGATATCTGATTTTGTCCTCCTCTAAAAATCTTAGGAGGACAACTCAGCAGCCTCTTACAGTGATCAACCTTTCCTAGGTCAGTCTCTGGTTCTTTAGCAATAAATATAAATGCTAATGTGGACACCTTTACGCATTGTTTCTAGGCCTCAGAAGTTACTCACTGTACTTCAGTCTGGGCTTATTCTGACAGAAGATTAATGTTTGTGAAAGATGTGTATTAGTGTATGTTAACTCTGCCACACAATGTTAATATTGCCAGTTGGCACTCTGTCAGATACAGTTACACAAGGATGGAAAATGACATTTTGGAGATGGATTTTGAGTTAGATAAGGCGCATATATAGACAGTTTGGTACCATTCTGCTGTGAAGAGCTTGCTATCTTTGCCAGAAGTTAGCCTGCTTGATTGATGAAAAAATGAACCTGCGTGCTGCCTTCACCAGGGATTCTTTGTGTTCTTCTGGGATTGTGCATTACCATGGAAAAATGCACAAGCAGAAGTAAGTTGTGAAGACCGCCACAAAGCATACTGGCATTTAATATGCTGATTCAGAGCATGCTGCTGGGGGCATAATGTTAGTGCTTGGGAGCTAGATGGGCTGTCCACCTTTCTGGGTATGATTTATGGCTGTGGCTCACAAGATTTTTGAATCAGTCCAAATCTGCAAATCTTTGACATTTCTTACTGCCTACTTACCTTTGCCAAACTCAAACTAAGGAACACATGGATGTCACTGTTGTGTAGGCTGCCACTCAACATTTATGCAAACCATGGCCTAGAAGTCCCTGTCTATGGGTGCAACGAGCTATAACCCTACCTGTCTGAGAATCTTGTATGTATGAGTGCAGATAGCCTGTCTGAGCTTAGTGCTTTTTGTAAAACAGTAGGAGTTGAGGGGAACCCAGAGGCCATGATGTGAAGGCACGCTCTGTAAGGGCTCACACAAAACAAAACAACAACAACAACAAAAAAACAAACAACAAAACAAAACCACAGAAAAAACCCTCACCAAACTGGCTCCTCTGTAGGTCAGCTCTGCTCTGGGAAACAAGCAGACCACAGCTTACCTACTTTGTTTGATATGCACGTGGAAAATCAAGCAGCCCACAGTGACCGTGCAGTATGCTGTCTAATTGCTGATAAATTACCCTCTTGGAGAATGCTCAAACCTACTTCTCCCAGCGAGGTACCCTTGTCGCCAGTCGAGGGGCCAGTCTTGGTAGGAGAACCCAAGAGGGCTGTACTCTTGTGCGAGAGGACTTCATGAGACCAGACAGTGAGTGGGAGAGTCAGTGCTGGGGGACTCCTGTGGCCTGGGCCTTTCTTCACAGGCTGCTCTATCTCCTGCTAGGATCAATGCTGCTTCCTATGCCTCCTCACCTGAGCAGCCACCTACTGGGATATGGCCATGCTTTGCTTTTTTAAAAGAAAAAGAATGCAGTCGTTGTGTCTGTTTTGTCTTGTCATTGTGACTTCAAAAGAAACACCAAGTCTCTCTCAGTTTTGTTGAGTGAAGGTGCTGGGAGTGGCTGGAGATTCCTACCTCACACACTGAAATACTTCCCAAAGGAATTGCATATTTCTATCCTGAGCATTTCCTTACGTGCTAGCTCTGGCACAGTCGTAGAATCATAGAATGACCTTAGGCTGGAAGAGACCCTAGAGATCATCTAATCCAACATCCCTGGACGCCTCTCAGCTGGACTAGGTTGCCCAAGGCCTCATCTAACCTGGCCTCGAACTCCTCCCTTAAGTAAGCATCCACAGCCTCTTTGGACAGTCTGTTCCAGAGTCTCTCCACCATCCTATCGGAGAACTTCTTCCTAATCCATAGCACTCTAAAGGGTTCCAATCTCCCTAGATCAGCTACAGCAGGAGGCATGCTGAGAACCACTCTAAATTTTTTTTGAGGTTTTGGGTGCTGGTTTTAGAGGAAATTGCATGACAGTTGTTGTCATGCACAAATTTTGTTGATCCTTAAGTTTTTAATTCAGCTTGTCCCTAGAGCCATAGCTGAATGCAAGTTTTCATCTTGTGCACTAAGCAGAGGATAGAGCAGAGGATACTTGGAAGCCCTTATAGTTTGTTGTTGTTGTTGTTTTTTTCTTTTCTCTTCTTTTCTTTTCTTTTCTTTTCTTTTCTTTTCTTTTCTTTTCTTTTCTTTTCTTTTCTTTTCTTTTCTTTTCTTTTCTTTTCTTTTCTTTTCTTTTCTTTTCTTTTCTTTTCTTTTCTTTTCTTTTCTTTTCTTTTCTTTTCTTTTCTTTTCTTTTCTTTTCTTTTCTTTTCTTTTCTTTTCTTTTCTTTTCTTTTCTTTTTCTTTTTTTTTTTTTTTTCCTGGCTTTCCATATATTAGTTTGGACTACAGTGCCACTAGTCTGTTGGCAGAATTTGGCAGACAGTATCCACAGCAGCCATTTTTGTCTCATTATAGTAATTCCTTGGCTGTATTCTTCCATTAACTTCTTCAGGAATCTCTGGTCTGCCTGTATCTATTTTTAAGACACCATACTGGCAGCAGGTAAAGGTTATAGGAGGAAAGGCAATACTGCCCATGTTTCCTAGGTCAGTTTCCAGTGTTTTGGTTTTGCCTGTAGCCTGACATTTTATTGTTATCATTTTTCACATAATGAGGTGGTTTTTCTTTTTATCTGTCATACATGAGCCCACGTTTGAATGTCATCCTCATGTAACCACCATCAGGGAGAATAATTCAGTGATCTCTTTGCACAGCTCGCTTTCCAGAGCTCACCCTGCATGTCAACACAAGGCAGGAGGGTGAGTTTGTCACAGTGTCTGCCTTCACCCCTGTTGCAGTGTGACCCACTGTCCTGCTCAGAGGCTGAACTGTAGCCTTTGGAGAAAGGTCACTGGCTCCAGTTTCAGCTAGCACCATCCAAATGAGTAACATTTCAAAGCAGTTAGAAAAGGTGTCACCTTTAAGGCACAGGGCTGGCCTATAGGCCAGTGGAAGTGTGAATCATCCTGGGGAGCTCTTGTGCAACCTTTATATTAGAGGGTAGATCTCGCACAAATCTAAGGTGTTTATTTTTTTAACCTTTCTATGCTGTTCCAAACCATCTTACAAAGCAGTTCTCAGACCTAAAAATTTTTGAAACAATATGAGTTTGTGTTAACCCCCCCTTAAATAATAATTTATATAGCTTAATCATTCTATTTAACCATTCCAGTGGGATCACAGTATTTATCAAAACAGGGTTAAGTTTTCATGCAACCCAGTCTTGTACCTTTCTCCAAGTTTTATTCTTTTCTTTCTCTTCTTGCTCCACATTTGGCTGCAATATTTCTGGGAAGCTTGAGTGTCTGTGTTCATTACATACTGCGGTAAGCTAAGTTCTTACTGAAGGAATGTTATTTGAGCAGCAGCTGAAACGTGTCTGGTATCCACAAAAAGCATTTGGGGATTTTTAAGTTTAAAAAAAAAAAAAAAAAGAAAGAAAGAGGCAGATAATGGACTGCTTAGCTCTGAGAACACCCTTTGAACCACTAACTCCAAAACAAACTTTCTGTTGGAAGATGATCTGAACTTTGTCTTTTTGACCAGCGTAGAAGATCATCTGGAATCAACAGTAAAGAAGATCTGCATGTGATGTTTTGACAAATATTAGATGCCATAGGCCAACACCCCTCCCCCATTTCTTATTTGTTGAATTGATTTGGTATCCCAGTGGTGTTCTAGTGACACAGCAAAGAGATTTTGCATTAAAAGCATTTTAGTACGGGTCAGGCTAAAAACTGCCATGACAAAATAATGTGCAGAATGCAATGGCTGTACTTTTAAGGCAGCAGATCTGTTTGCATGAATAATGTGAAACCTGTGCCCTTCTTTTATTAATAGCAACATGTGCTACCTCAGAGCTCCCAAAATATGTTGGTTTTGTACAAAGTCTATCTGAAGAAAGAAAATCTTCTAATCTGGCAAAGTGTTCTGGAATATTTGTCCTGTGATGTGAGTGTGTGCACTAGAAAAGAGAAAAAGAAATCAAGATTACTTTCTTCTTCCACCATTGCATCAGAGGACATGATGCAAAATCTGCCTGTTGCTCTACTTGAGGAGCATTGCTCACCAGTCCTTCCTCCTCCTTAGAATGAGTCTTCAAAAACATCCCCAAAGCTAAGCCCACGGGATGAAAGCCACACTGAGCTATGTCTTTCTACTTGTTGCTAGTGTTAAGTGCTGTCAGTCTCTAAGAACTTTACTTGAGGCTGGTTTCAAAGTAGAAAACCTTAGCATCCCAATCCATTTACAACTCTTCAAGTAATTAGTTGTTATAGGTGAAGAGGTTCTTTTAGGAAAATCCAAGGAAATGATAAAGATTGAAAAAAGAATGGAAAGGGAAATCAGAACTCTTTGCCTATGGCCACAGTTTCTATTAACAAACAAACAAAAAGCTAGGTATATATTTTGTTTCTGAATTTTGTTTCTGTCTTCCTGGCATGATTTTAGTGCAGTAACTTGGATTAAATGAATGATAACAAAGAAACACAATGAAACTTTTGTTCTTTAACTTGAGATTTTCTTGATTTGACTGTGGGCTTTCCTGATCTTCTGCTTAAAAATAAGGGTACTGCTAATAAAAAAATGAAGGCTACAACCTGTCACTGTTCTTACTGCCTTATCTGAGTGCAAAGATAGTGCTGTAATTAAAATCTACAATTTCAGTGTTCCGGATAGCGTGTACTTAGTTTGCTGACATTTCTGTCTACCTTCATGTTAGCATCATGAGATCCAACCTGTATTTACATGGTGCCCTACAATACCAGAGCCAAAGTCAAATTTAATTTTGTGACTTATGACAGAGGCATGTTTATATGAGATAAGCTTCTTTTGTAAATTATTGAAGACATAATTACTTTCTAACCAGTCAAGCCACAGCTCATCATTACCTCTCATTCATGCAAGCCCTATAATATTACAAGTAGCCCAGGCTAGGAATGAAGTAATTAGAATGGGATTGCAGCAGACCAACTAGCAAAATAAAACACCCTTAATAAATGCATGTCTAGATCCACCTTGCACCTCCTGCTGATGCCCCTGTGATGTGCCATAGGCCTCTGAAACTCTCCTTTACAGAAGATGCCAGAGGAGATGCAAGCAGAGATTAAGGTGATATGGGAAGGGAACTTCACTGTCTGGAGTCACAGGGCAATGGCTGCTCTGCCATGGGATGCTGTGGCACACATGGTTACTGCTGCCCTGTCCCTTCATTTCTGGTGCCTTGCAAATTGTGTGCTTTGCCTTGTCTGTGCTCAGCTTGTTGCTGAGTGGCACCTACAGGAAAGCAGTCTCCAGCTAAGTGGCCAGTGAGAGTTTTGTGTTCTAGGCAGTCTAATGAACAATTAGAAAATTACTAGATCTGCACATCACTAACTTTGGTGTCTGGGGAGGGCAGCTGAGCAGTAGTTGCTCAGCTGTAGTCCAGTGTCAAGCTCCTTTCTTGCATCCCGGGGGCACCATGGAGCCAGCCTGGGGTGCAGTTATTCTGAGCACTCAATCACATGGTCTCAGAAACATCTTAACAGACTCTTACCAGCAACACAGCCAACAGCTTCACCTCAGAATAAAACAGCTACCCAAGACCTCAACACGGCAAGGCAGTGTCTCATCCAGCCGAGAAGGAACTCTGGTAACCACCAAAGATGTCTGACAAAAGCCCCTTTGAAACAGATATGCTGACACTCACGCGATTCGTTATGGAGAAGGGACGCCGCGTCAAAGGAGCGACGGGGGAGCTGACACAGCTGCTCAACTCCATGCTGACTGCCATAAAGGCCATCTCCTCTGCAGTCAGAAAGGCAGGCCTGGCCCACATGTGAGTCCTAACTAGCAATATGGGGAGGAAGAGGAGGTAGAGAGACAGCTGCTTGGACAGTAAGGCTGGGCAGTGGGCAAGATTTTGTAAACACATTTGAAAAGTCTTTTTTTTAGCCGAGTGACTGTAGGCGTGAGGTCAAAGCCTGGATTATCAAGAGTGGAAGTAAGAGAGCTCTCTTTCTGGAGCATTTTAATATTGGGTGCAAGACAGACATTTAAACTAACTGCTGTTCTATAATATTTTGCTCTAAAAATGTAACTCAGAACTTCAGTACACTGCTTACCTCCTTATCCCTTGTAAATATTGATGTTGATCTATGCTTAAATCTACCATGAATTTGCAGGATATCACACCAGGCTATTTTTAATGGAGAATATCACACCATGATAGTTTCTGCTAACAGCCAAGCCCAGTACTGATCTGTGCAAATCAGGGCTTGGCTTATGTTCTGCCTGACTGCAGTATAAATAATGATTTAAAGCAACAGCCTTGCGAGAAACGCTATACACTGCCACGTATGAGAGCATTTCCCCTTCCTTCCTCAAGTAGTATCAGGATTACAGATGGGGAATCTTAAAAGACCCTATACAAAAAACGAATAACAGTTTGGCATCTAGTTGTTGAGGAAATGGAATAAAGAATTGCCTTAGCAAAGCCTGGATTGAACTGAAGCTGTTCCACACAGCCAGGTGAAATAAACTTCAGTGCCAGTCTTCTAATGACAATCTGTCTGAAGTAGTTCAGAAAGCAGCAACATGAGACTAGAACACCTTTAAAGCTCCCTTCCAACCCAAAACATTTTATGATTCTGTGAATTATGTATTTAAAATAAACAGATTTTGTTACTTATTGAAAAATACGTGTCTGTACATGCCTGTGTAGGTACCTTCCTTTTTTTTCCCAAAGAAACACCAAAACATGTGGCGCATTGGAGTATATTTTTGTGCTTCTGTTGATTATTTGATCAAAGTCCTCAATGATCTTTGCAAATCATGAATTCAGCATTTCAGTACTATCAACTTTTCTTTACAGGCATAGACCATAATATATAAAGAGGACGCGAGACATACTCAAAGTTAACAGTAATGTCAGGCTCCTGTGCCCTAGCTGTTAAAATATATTTTGTCTCTGTAGTTAATAGGTAAAGCTGAGCTGTTTTGCCTCCCTGACTTATAGAAACAGTTGCTTTTTCTCATTTTTGTCTTTCAATATGCAACCTTTGAAGTATTTAATAAATGGGAGTAACCGCTATTTGATAGACTAGAAGTGGAACCACCACGGAGCCTACAGGGGACACAGCTACTGTGCTAGATTAATATTCCCTTCAGAAAGAAAACATCAACTATGTTAAGGAGCAAATGTCTCTTTATATAAAAAAACCTTCAGAGGATGAGTCAGAAATTTCTAAAATATCCAAAACCAGAAATTAGTAACTTGTGCCATTCACATTACTGCAACTAATCATGAAATTTCAGAAATCCCCATAGGAAGCATCATCCTAACTCAGCTGAGGATCACCAAATAAAACAGATGTCAATCCTGAGATAAAGACCAAAATGGGGGTCCATCTAAGGGTGTCTTTAAAGCTTCTGATTTTGAGGTGGCTGGCAACTAAGTGAACATGGATTAAAGGACCATCACAGAGCTCTGAGCAGCCAGCAGTGGAAGATAATGCAGATGCTAACTGCCCCTTCTCCTTCCACAAAGCTGCTGACAGCTGCTTTGCAGGGCTACTAGGGAAGCCTGGCAATCACCAGCTGGGCTTCTGGGCTCTGCTCCTGGCCTGGGAAACATCCAAACAGGAGCAAGAGGACGCAGGTGAAGCCCCAAAATGATGCCATTGCCCTTTCTCATGTACATTTTATTTTCTCGCTGCAGCAGTCACCTCTTAATGCACCTTAGCAGTTTCATCTAAAGGTTAGAGGTGGAAGATGGGGGGAAGGAGTGACCCTTACTTGTTTATTTCCTAAAAAACTGTAATGATTGCCTGCCTCCGGTTTCTTGATGTTTTTACCTTTCTGTAGGTTTGGTATAGCTGGCACTGTGAACGTGACAGGTGACGAAGTGAAAAAGCTGGACGTGTTATCCAACTCCTTGGTGATCAATATGCTCCAGTCCTCCTACAGCACCTGCGTCCTGGTCACAGAGGAGGACAAGGATGCTATCATCACGCCGAAGGAGAAGCGGGTCTGTGCAGCTCCTGCCTTCAGGGGGTTATCGGCTCAGGCAGCAGCAGGTGGCACTCGTGCTTCAAGTATGAAACCTGGGCCTGGCTCCCAAACCGACCCTTCCTGGGGGAATTCACAAAATTTGCACCATTTCTGTGTTGTTTTGAGTAATAACTGTGGTGGATGGCATGGTTTAAGCAGCTAAAGGAATTGTGGGGGGTAAAATTATTATTAAAGTTTTGTGAAGTGGGAGAATAATTATTTTGGAGCTTGTTAACACAGCCCAGATCCCAGCCATAAGTGTACTATTACATTCCCTGGCCACTGGTGTAATGGTTTTGGATTACATTAATATTTAGGCAAGATAAAATGAGATGAGAGGCTGGCAGAACTGGGTTTTATGTTACAAGTCCAGAGGAAACACCTGACTGATTCATCAGGCTTCCCCAAGAGGGGATCCTATTGCAGCAAGATACTGTTCACACTGATACAACCACCCCTTTACCCAGCATGCTTTCTTTCTGCCTCCTTACCCTCAAACCTCACACGACAGGCAAATCCTTTCATTTGGAACAAAACATAGCAAAACAAAATATAATTCTCTGAGGAAGATGCTCACTTCCAGAACGAGTCACTCCTATAGCTTTCAGGTGATTGTTGCATGCACTGCTTGGCAGCAAGGACTGCTCCTTCCTACCATGAGATTTTGTGCTGTTCAAGCAGAAACGTCCCCTATCCTATTTCTCTGGCAGGGAGTGAACATTGTGCTGCGGGGCCAGCTGGGTCAACAGTGCAGCCTTCTCTGACAAGCTGAGTCAGGTGCACTTGAAGGGCTGAACGCAGTCATAAAAACGTGGGGTTTGTCAAGTGAAATGAAATAATAGTGCAAGACTACTTATCATTTAATGCTTCCCTTGTAACTTTTGTTTCAGGGTAAATACGTGGTGTGCTTTGACCCCCTTGACGGCTCATCCAATATCGACTGCTTGGCACCAATAGGAACAATATTTGCTATCTACAAAAAGGTAAGAGGATGAATGAAGCACATATGGCACGATTCGCTTGGTGAAAGAAAGATGTCTTGAGTGTATCAGCTTGCCTAGTTGGAGAGCTGAGGGGTGTCACGGTGCCTATGAATTACAGAAAGTGTCTTCCTGGGTACTATCTGGGGAGGGCTGTCGGCCATTGCCCAGAGTGCATCACAGTGTGGTGGCCTCCGGCCATGCATTGCTGTGCCCGTCACGCATGGGAGTTTACAGGAGTGCTAATGACTGAGGGCGCCTGAGGCTGAAGGAAGCAGGCACCTACAGCCACCAGGGCCCTGCCGGCATGTCTGCTCCCATGGGCAGCACAGAACAGCAACCACGCAGCCAATTAACCAATGTTAATAGTTAGAGTCATGCCAAGTCTTGTGATTTGATTGCTAATCTCACAGCAGTTGGTGTTTTTCCTAAAGCCTGAACTCACAGTCATATGGCTATGGGAGACCCTCAATGACTACTATTGTGAAGTAACATTTACAGCATTTTTAACTGTAAAGAAGTCTTTGAAGGCTCAGATGCTACATGGCAAACGTATGAAGATACATTTTTAAGGTTTGCTCTTATCTTTTAACTCATAATTTTCAACTGGCTAGTCCTCGATTTTCCACATTTCTGGTAGGCGATACACTATAATCATCAGTGCTGAGAATATGCATCTACTAGTAAATGTTTGGAATATGCATCTACCAGTAAACCAAATAGCTGTGGCACAATCTCAACAGGGTCATGGCACGAGCCAGGTGCTGGCATATGGCTGCACGCACTGTTAGTGGTGAGCACAAACTCCCATCATGATGCAGCCCAGGCCAGACCACGCTGAGATGATGCCTTCGTATGTCTTGTGGAAAGAGCAGCCCAGGGACTACCTCCAGCACCATCTACCACCTTGCTTTTTGCGGGGATGGGAGCTTAGCTGTATGTATGCAATCCATACCATGTGCCTTTATAGCAAGCAAAGGGGGCTCCACCCTTTCCATTTATCTCTCTAAAGACAGCCCAAAAGATTGCAGTGCCTCCCAGCATTTACAGTAAGTAATAGCCACATTGTGCACTGTTCTTAAAGGTGGTAAGCATCATCTAACAAATACTAAGCATGAGCTTTCTCTTCAGAAACGTTGTATTAAGTTACTCTGGGTAACTCTGAAGGCAAATGTTCAGTGTGATTAATATGGATTAGCAAGTTGAAATGCAGATTAAATTTCTCCACCATCTTTACTCATCTGTTCATATGTGTAAAGATTATGTACTGCCCAGTCTTCCCTAGGAATCTGCTTCAGAATAGAAACATTGTCTGAAGAACTCATGTCATTCCCAAGTGCTCAAATTTTCAATTAATTTTCTGATCCTTCTATAGTTGTTGTTGCTTTAATAGATATCAATACACTTGTAAATACTGTTTCTAAGTTACCGCTTCTCATGTGGGTGGATACTCTTCAGTGTTTCATATAAAGAAAATTACATTGCTTTGTACAAATGATTCATATCCAAATAGAAACCCTGCTGTTAGGGTGAAGCACAGTTTGTCACAAGAACAAATTACCAATTTTCCCTGCAAAGTTAGAAACAATGCTGAATTTACAGTGTTTCACTTAATTCTTTCCATTAAAATGCTAATTCCAAAGTACATGCTAATTAATGTGCCTTCCTCTCAGACAGGACAATTTCATAGCAACACTATTAACTTTAAAGAGTAGGAACTGCAAAACCTTTGAAATAATGAAACAATAATAAGTGCTTTATTGATTGTTACTGAAGGGTAGTGTGAAAAGAATAAAAGTGAGAGGTTTATCCCAGTGGATGAGAATCACTTAAGAAAGAAAATATAATTTCAAGTCATTTAAGGTTCCTTGACATCATTTTAGAAAAGCTAGAATAATTGTTAATTCCAAAGGATGATTCTTAGCACCTGTGTGATATTAGTTACCTTACAGTTCTCAGAGGATTGCATGACTGATTTTCTGGCCGTGTCAGCACCTTAATTTCATTTCCAAAGGCACACCCTCCAGAACTGGAATATTTGCCTCCTTTTAAGATAAAAAGATAATTGGTACTTTTCTATCAAGGCCAGACTTGGCCAATGGATTTCAAACCTGAAACAGGCTCTCTGGGTACTCTCAAGCCAGACCATCACCACGGTTGCAGGTACCATTGCCTCCTGCCAGAAAAAACACTGCATCAGTTTCTTAGAGAGCAACACTGGGAAACACATGCCATCTCACGTTTACTTAATCTTCTACCTGGCTTTTACTTTCTGAAGCATGGGTGGTACTGGTGAGAGGACCAGAAACACCAGAAAAGCAGAGCTGAGGGAGAAGCCTTGCTGAATCAGCAGAGTCCAGAGCAAGTGGTAAGACCTTGAAAGTCGCTGCTGCCGAGGAGCTCTCAGCTGCTGGAACATCAGGATGTGGTGACAAGCATTTTTGGTTTGGATTCTTCCCAATTTTTCACGCCATGGAGATGAATCTACAGCCCTCAAGTCCTACTGCACATATATGCTATAAAACTCTGCCACTTTGTTTAATTCTGGTTTTAATTTGTAGATTTGCCCACTGCCTCAGATGTATTTTATTTCATGACAATGTCCTCCTCTCCATGTGGTCTTTCACAGAGAACATGCAAGAATTCAGGGCAAACAAAAAAGGATACTCAAGAGACCTGGAAACCAAGTCCTTCCAGAGTAGCTCCCAGTGCTGCTGACGAGTCCCTCATGATGTTGACAAATCATACAGGCAAAAATTTTCAAACTCATTTATCACCTGAGGGTACCCCTATAGGCAGACTCTGCAGACCTTGTTTCATCTGCTTCACATCAACAATGGGCCAAACTGACTTGTCAGAACTTCTCTGTAGTCTGTCTGCCTATTTCAGTGCTTTGCATAAAGACCTCTAAAGAGATATCACTATTTCAATTTCATAGTCAAAATATAGTGCAAAGGAAATCCACCTGTGGCACCAGAAAGAAGTGAAAATATTCAGCAGCTATGAGTTACTGGTCACCTTGATTCCCGGGTTTGTTTCATAGTACATG